TCCTCAAATCTCAGCCTCCTGAATAGCTAGGATTACAGGCATGAGCCACCCGTGCCAGGCTGCCTATGCTGTTTGTAACCATGAGGCATAATGTTCCAGTGGTCTTATTTTAGGTTTAGGATTATTACACTTTTCTAATTTATCTAGTAGATGTTGTTGAATACATTGTTTTTCACTCTTCTAATACCTTTACTTTCAAGCTTGCCTTATTGTAATTTTACTTTGTAGCTTTAATTTTTATATTGTCCTTCCATATTTTTCATTGTTTTCATTGTTTTGGTCTGTTGTGGGGCCTAAACTCTGGGCCTGGGCACTGTCCCTCAACTCCTTAACTCAAGGATCCGCTCTACCACTTGAGCCACAGCACCACTTCCAGCCTTTTCTGCTTATGTGGTGCTGAGGAATTGAACCCAGGGCCTCATGCATGCAAGGCAAGAGCTCTACCACTGAACCACCTTCACAGCCCCTCATTGATTTCTTTAGAAGTTTGTGTTAAGAGTATAAAGATGAAGATAATGTTACTTTGTATGGTATCTGGTATTCTTTTTGGACATCTTCCTTTATTTTTTATTTTTATAGTGATGACAAGCTTATTTTTGCTTCTTTTTTCTTCTTTTTCTTTTTTTTTTCTGTTACCTCTTCAGTATCACTAAGTTTCGCTGTGTTAGTTTCAGAAACTAGACCAATTTGATTTGCCTAAGAGTTAATATGTTTTAGTAAAGAGATGGAATACTTTCTTAGGAGACAAAAAGCTAGTGTCGGATTCACCTAGTGTCGGAGGTTATCTTTCTTTAGTCTGCTTGTCTTTTGAGAGCTTTGAATCCTGACTTTTTGTATAATTGATATGGAAACCATTTCTTTTATCATCTTATAGTTAACATCACAAATTTGCATGAGAATTTGATTAGTATACCCTTTAAATTTCTTGTGAATACAACCTGGATAAAACATACAAGCATGATTTTACTAATTTTTATCTTGGTTTAATTAATATCTTTGTAGTATATTTGGAGACTTGAGAATTTTTTACTTCATAGTTATAATTTGTGAGCTAAATATCTTGTATGGTTTAATTACTTTATAAAGAATTTATTTGAGCCAAGGTAATTGGTTATAAAATTATTCACCAGCTGAGGAAATTTTCAAGGCTTTTATTTATCTTTAATAGCTCTGTAAAATAGAAATTGCCCTTTTTTGATGGTTTTTAATTTTTTCTTGGTGGCTTTTCAGTTTGATATTATAGTCTTCTGATCAGTTGCATCATTTAACAAACACAATTTAGAGATGATATCATATTTTTCTTTCCTAGCTATGTGGTATGGATCAATTTTGGGGCATTGCTTTAAGAGCACAGTCTGGTGATGTCAGTCGAGCAGCCATTCAGTATATTAACTCCTATTACATTAATGGTGAGTTTTTTGGAATTTTGTTCAGTAATTTTATGTGAAGATATTTTCCTAATGTGTACTTCATTTTATTTTCCTTAGAGTATAATAACATACATGCATCATGTTTGGGTTTCAGGTAAAACGGGTTTGGAGAAGGAGCAAGAATTCATTAGTAAGTGCATGGAAAGTCTTATGATAGCTTCTAGCAGTCTTGAACAAGAATCACACTCAAGTCTAACAGTTATAGAAAGAGGATTGCTTATGCTGAAGACACATTTGGAAGCATTTAGGAGAAGGTAATTTTTTATGCCATCTTATAAGAATGAATTTCCATTATTAAAGTTTTTATTACATTTAGGAAGAAAGCATAATTACCAATGCTAAAGGATTAATAATTAATTTTTAATTCAGAATATGAACCATTTCACTATAAATAGGCAGCATAGTTTCCTAATATATATTGTACAACTTTAACAATTATTAGACTCTGAAAAGATACGCATGAATAAGAATTTCTGCACAGCATTCCCTCTCTAAGAAGATATGAATTATGATTTGAAAAGGCAGGAATACCATTACCAAAACAAGTTGCACTAAAACTCACCAACAACATCAAATAAATCTTTCATAGTTGAATCAAGTTGAGTCATTTGTTTCATTTGCTGTTTTTTTTTCTCCCTGGACTAGGAGACAGTATTTTAATTTTGAATTTCCATTTACCATGGAAACATGACCAAAAAAATTCTGTGTTAATGAATCTCTGTATAATTAATTTAGACATACTCTGTAATACAGAAATAAAGCAAATTAACATTTATGAATATTTCAACTAAAATAAAAGGTGAGTAGATAGTTTTAATTAAGAAATTCTGTTTGTTAAAAGTCATTAATTATGAGTAAATGTGAAAGTACTAAGAACTGTGTTGAAAAATTGTTAAAATTAATAACTTCTTTCAACTTCAGATCTTAGATTGATACTAAAAAGTCATGCACTTTATATTAACTTCTTACTTGAAATATCAGAAGCACTAAAAAAGAATATCTTACACATTCCTTATAAATAACATGCCTTAATAATTTGAAGCACTTGGACATTGAATAATTCTTTATTTCAACTATGATTTGATTTGTAGAAATTCTGTTTAAATTATACCTCGTGATTTTTAAAGATTGTGTAAGAAAACTTTTAATATTTTTCACAGAAACATCAGTGTCTCATACTTTGATCACTTTAGTAAAATAAATGTGTTCTCTTACTCAAATTTGTAAAACAATAAATATAATAGTCAGATATTCCATTAAGATAGACAGTTTACATTTTCTGTGATTGCTGTCTTCCTATAAGAACTAGTTATTGTTAACAATTTACCATTTCTTCTAAAGGTTTTTGTATATCAAAAATCAAATCAATAGAGACTGTTGGTCCAAGCCCTAAAGCCTTGTACAGTGTATTATTACTAATAGTTAGCATTGTAATAAATATATAAATACTTTTAAAACTACAGTTGGCCAGACCCTGGTGGTTCACATCTGTAATTCTAACCTGCTTTAAGATGCTGAGATCTGAGGATCTCCATTCAAGCCAGTTCAGGCAGCAAAGTCCCCATGGTTCTTTATCTCCAATTTAATCAAATAAAAGCTGGAAATGGATCTGTGGTTCAATTTGTGGAATGTTAGCATTGAGGGAAAAAAGAAAAAAAAAAAGCTCAGTGATAGTGCACAAAGCCTGAATTCAAGCCCTAGGACTGGCATAAACATAAAACATTCCCCCCCCCCCAAGGATTTAATAATGCCTTTTATTAGTTTAATGAATCAGAGCACTCTTTTTTTCTTTTGGTGATACTGGGTTTTAAACTGAGGGCTGTAAGCTTCCAAGTCAAGTGTTCTACCACTTGAGTCATGCCTCTAACCCAGATTCTCCTCTGTGTGTGTATGTATACACATATGTATACATATGTATGTATATATATGTGTGTATATATACATGTATATATGTACATATATGTATATATATATTACCCCAATAGCTTGGATTACAAGCTCATGGCACCATATTCTATGTGAAGAAGTTTTTTTATCTTTTCCTTTGTCTTTGTTCATGTTTTAGGTTAAAAGATAACATAGTTATCCAATTTATATAATATAAGTGGAACTAGAAGGTAAATAAAATTGGGGCTGGGAAGGTGGCTCAGTGGTAGAGCACTTGCCTTGCATGCCTGAGGCCCTGGGTTCGATTCCTCAGCACCACATAAGCAAAAAGAAAAAA